TAGGAGAAAATATCTGTAAATCCTATGTCTGATGAGAAATTACTACTAAAAATATACCAAAAAATCCTGCAACTCAAGAACAAAAACAACTTGATTAAAAAATCGGCAAAGGAGGCCGGGTCTAGTGGCTTGCGCCTGTAATCCCAGCACTTTGGGAGGCCGAGGCAGGCGGATCACCTGAGGTCAGGAGTTCCAGACCAGCCGGGCCAATACAGTGAAACCCCGTCTCTACTACAAATACAAAAGTTAGCCAGGCGTAGTGGTGCATGCCTGTTATCCCAGCTACTTGGGAGGCTGAGGCAGGAGAATCGCTTGAACCCGGGCGGTAGTGGTTGCAGTGAGCCGAGATCAGACCACTGCACTCCAGCCTGGGTGACAGAGTGAGACTGTCTCAAAAAAAGATGCACAAATGGCCAGTAAGCACATAAAAAGATGTTCAGCGCCACTAATCATAAGGTAAAATGTAAATCAAAACCACAGTGAGATACCACCGTACACCTATTGAGGATAGCTACTATCAAAACAGAAAATAACACGTATGAGTGAGGATGGGGAGAAATGGGAACCCTTGTGCACTGCTGATAGGAATGTGGAATGGTGCGGCCGCTGCGAAAAACTCAAAAAATTAAGTATGGAACTACCATGTGATCCAGCAATTCCACTACTGGGCATGTGCCCCAGAAGCACTGAAAGCAGGGTCTTGAAGAGATGTTTGTACACCCACGTTGACAGCAGCATCAACCGCAGCAGCCAAAAGGGGGAGCCACCCAAGGGCCGGTTGTCGGGCGAATGGATCAGAAGTGTCGTGTGCAAAACGCAGTGACGTGTGACTCAGCCTGAGAAGCGGCGAAGCTGGGGCCCGCGCTGCAGCGTGGATGAGCCTCGGGGACACTGTGCCGAATGAAATAAGTCAGCCACAAAAGGACAAACGTTGTACGATCCCACTTACACGAGGTCCCTAGAGTCGTCACACTGATGGACACAGAAAGAGTAGAAGGGGCTGGAGGCTGGGGCTGGAGAAAGGGAATGGAGAGTTAGGGCTTAATGGGAACAGAGCTTCAGTTTGACAAGATGGAAAGAGTTGTGGAGGTGGATAGTGGTGATGGTGGCACAACATTCTGAATGTATTTGATGCCACTGAACTGTGCACTTAAGGATGATCAAGATGGTAAATTTTGTGGTGTGTGTATTTTACTAGTTAAAAAAAACAAAAAATAGAAAAAGTAAACTTAGGTCATAAAGCAGTTTGAGTGTCCACACTTGGTAGAAGCTGCAGGTCCCTGCTGGGCTCATTGTCCACACTTGGGTAGAAGCTGCAGAAGTTGCAGTGCTTCCCTTGCGTTTTTTTGCCGGTGACCACAGTCCATGCCCAGAGTGGAGGCTCTGCCTTTTGCTTTGTGAGCTTCGAGTGTTTGTGCCTTCTGCATAGGTGGGTGGGAACAGTGCCAAATACTGAGCCTGAATGGGCCTGGGGTCTCTATGTGGACTTGTTGGGCAGGGAGGATGGAGGACGGTGGCTCTGATGGCAGGGAACAGTTCAATGGGTGCTGCTGTCCAGGCATGAGGCCTGGGCATAGAGCTGGGCCCTGCTCTGTGTGACCTGAGGGCAGGAACCCTTCTGAGTGACAGAGTTGTGGTGGTGACCACGCAGGCTGCTGTGTTTCCCGTGCACTTGCTTTTTCCCCACATCTCCACCGTCCCATCCGCCTTGTCTGCCCTCTGGAGCCTGTCGCCTTTCTTCCTTATCCACACCTCTTCTACCCAGCAGCCCAGCCTTTCTGCAGACAGCTGGGCAGTGCCCACCCCCACCCCACACCCACTTCCACTCCTGGCACTGTTTTTCCCGGAACTGTCTGTTCCACACTGTCCTATGCCTGGGCTCCCAGAGCGTCCTGTGAGATGCCAGTGAGTGTGAGTCTTTACTCGGAGTCCTGAAGGGCCCCCCTCCCCCTTTCTTGATGTTCTCCACCGGGATTCTTCTCTGCCAGATCCCATCTGCAGGGAACTGGCCCCACTCCTTTGAGGTCTGGAGTGCAAATCCTCCTTCCTTACTGCTAGCCATCCGGTAGTTTTCTTTCTCTTGGCCCCTGATCACGCTGAATCCCAGCCGTCTGGCTCAGGGCCAGACCCTCTCCCTGGACACAACTGGAGGCCCCCGTGCAGCACTGAAGCGGCCCCTCTTCACACTTCAGCCACGTGCTCAGACACTTTCAGGTCCTTCATAGGTTCTACGTTTCTGAAAGTCATCCATAGACGTTTCTCTACTATTTAATGTGTAGCAAATTTTATACTTAACGTCTGTTTCACACATACAAGCTGTCACCCAGTAAGAAGAGGCCCTTAGACACCATTCTTCACTTGTTTGCAGCAGGCAGACTTCCTGACATGATTTATTTTATTTTATTTTATTTATTTTTTTGAGATGGAGTCTCTCTCTGTGGCCCAGGCTGGAGTGCAGTGGTGCGATCTTGGCTCACTGCCACCTCCGCCTCCCAGGTTTAAGCAATTCTCCTGCCTCAGCCTCCTCAGTACCTGGGATTACGGGCACCCGCCACCACCATGCCTGGCTAATTTTGTATTTTTAGTAGAGACGGAGTTTCACCATGTTGGCCAGGCTGGTATTGAGCTTCTGACCTCAAGTGATCACCCACCTCGGCCTCCCAAAGTGCTGGGATGACAGGTGTGAGCCATTGCATCTGGCCCCAACATGATTCTTGGTTTTTTTAGACGGAGTCTTGCTCTTCTTGCTCTGTCACCCAGGCTGGAGTGCAGTGGCGTGATCTTGGCTCACTGCAAGCTCCGCCTTCCGGGTTCACGCCATTCTCCTTCCTCAGCCTCCCGAGTAACTGGGACTACAGGTGCCCACCACCACGCCCGGGTAATTTTTTGTACCTTTAGTAGAGACGGGGTTTCACCGTGTTAGCCAGGATGGTCTCGACCTCCTGACCTCGTGATTCACTCGCCTCAGCCTCCCAAAGTTCTGGGATTACAGGTATGAGCCACTGCACCTGGCTGACATGATTCTTAAGCACATGAAATGCAGGGTTACCTCCTTTGTCCTCTCTCAGCAGTTCAGTACAGGAGTCAGCAAACTGTTTCCAGGGGACAGGTAGCAAATGTCAGTGCTTTTGTGGGCCACACTGTTCCTGTCCCAGCTGGTCATGGTGGTGTCACATTGAAGCAGATGCAGACAGTATGTAGACAGTGGGCATAGGTGTGCACCAATAAAGCTTTATTTATAAGCAGGTGTTGTGTCCAATTTGTGTTATTAATAACCATGGGTTACTGAGATGAAATAAGGAAAAGAATCTAGTGAGAAAGTACATGTAGTCACCCTTGGGTATAGGAAGAGATTGGCTCCGGGACCCCGTCCCCGTACCAAAATCCAAGCATGCTGCAATCCTGCAGTGAGCCCTGCAGAACCTGTGTAATATGAAACGTTGACCCTCTGTGTTCCGGGATTTTGCATCTTGCAAACATTGTATTTTCAACCTGTTTGGATCTGCTTGTAAGTGGACCTATGTGATTAAAATCCATGTTCAAAAGTCAGCTGTATATATATTTAAAGCTGAGAGACTTAAAAATTATCTGATTAAATCCATGCCTCCTTCATCCCCCCACAAACTATCTATTCAAAATACGAAGATGATTATGATGGTGAGTCTAGGATTCCCAGGGCTGCCAAGGGATTTCTGTGGTTTGAGCACAGCCGTGCTGGCCCATCAGCCTGTTCCAGTGTGGACAGAGCCAAGTGTCTGCATGCTGGCTGTGTGCTCAGAGCCTGACCCCCACGAACATACTGCAGATGCCTGGGGTGAGCATTTCCCAGTGTCCATGGCCCCAGGCACCTCCTTACTCCAGAGCAGATCTCCCAGGCCCCGTGGCATCTGTGGGTGGTGCTGTCACAGGACCCACCCGCTTTGGATGGCTCTCACTCTTTCACATTCCTCCAAAATTTTGTGTGTGTGTGTGTGTGTGTGTGTGTGTGTTGTGTGTAAGAAAAGGGGGTCTCACTGTGTTTCCCAGGTTGGGCTTGAACTCCTGGGATCAAGCTGTCCCTCCCTCCCACTCAAGCCTCCACAGTAGCTCCGTCTTCAGGTGTGAGCTGCTGTGCCCAGCTTTAAACAGAATGACTTTTCCCCAGCCCTTTAGGAGAGTTTCTTTCATGTGAAAGCAGCAGCGTGTAGATCTATTTTTTCTTTAAATCCTGGAACTTAAAAAAAGTCATAGAGTCTGATTATATAAAACCAATGGAACCTAGAACTGCTTTGTTCAGAATGAGGTTGGGAGCCCCCAGACGCCTTCCTTGCTGCCACTCTTGTTTGGAAACCACTGCTCCAGCCCCCGGACATTTGCTCGCCCCTCTCACCCTCTTGTCTTTTAATAGAGAGCTGGACAGTAGCTCCAGGGACTGCCTTTCCCCTCAGTCACTGGACTGCAGCGCGAGGAGGATGGTGTTGGGGTGTTGGGCTGCAGAGTCACAGGGGTGGACCTGGTGCGGAGCTTGTGTCCTAGGAAGAGTGGCCTGGCCTGGCCCCTGTGCTGGGGAGGGAGGCCGGGCTCTGCCTGCTCCGCACCGCGTCCTTCTGCTGCCCATGCTGTTCACGTTGGTGTTTTGCGAAGTGAGAGGACTTCTCAAGGGTAGTCACTCCATGTTCAAAGCCAAGGGGACTGGGAGGAGGAGTCGCTTCAGAGCCCTGCTACTGACGGTTTGTGGCTTTCCTGCCTCCAAGGTGGGGTGGTCAAGTTTGCTCCGTGTTTTATTGTGAGGGGAACAGATGAACAGATGATCTGGGACGTGTTTCTGATTCTCTGTGAATTGATCGCGAGTGAAGGATGCCTGTCACTGTGCTGATGGCCGGCGGGCAGTGTGCCTGTTGTGATGGGGTTTGCTGGTGATTTTGGTGATCAAGTTTTGTAAACTGTCTCCTACCTTTGAAAAACATTTGAATGGTGTTTCTTTTCCTTTCTTGTCCCCTTTTGACTTTTTTTTTTTTTAGCTTGCTTGCCTTTTGTTTTAGCAGCTGCAGTATCTCGGAAGAAAAAACGAAGAATGGGAACCTATAGCCTGGTTCCTAAGAAAAAGACCAAAGTATTAAAACAGAGGACAGTGATTGAGATGTTTAAGAGCATAACTCATTCCACTGTGGGTTCCAAGGTAAGAGACACATTTGAGTGAGTGCCACGTGTGTGTGGAAATGCGTTTCTGTGTTCGGGGCCTGGTTATCAGTCATTAGGTGACCTCAGTCCCCGGGAAGGGGCCAGTGCCATGAAGCTCCTCTGCCATAGGGGCAGAGTGTTCGTGTCCAAGATTGTTGTGGGAGACTCCACCCTGTCCTCCCTGCCCTCCTCACCACAGCCCGCCAGTCTGCCGGGCTCTTCTCCAGGTGGCAGGGGCACCTCCTGATGCGTCCGCGCCTCCCCACAGGCCCTTGCACCTCCCAGTCACCCAAGACCCCTCAGTGAAAGCGAGTTTGTTCATGATGCGCACTGCTCCTGCCTTGGGGTGTACACCTGCCCGTGTTCTAGGGGGAGAAGGACCTGGGCGCCAGCAGCCTGCACGTGAATGGGGAGAGCTTGGAGATGGACTCAGACGAGGACGACTCAGAGGAGCTCGAGGAGGACGACGGCCACGGCGCAGAGCAGGCGGCTGCGTTCCCCACGGAGGACAGCAGGACTTCCAAGGAGAGCATGTCGGAGGCTGACCGCGCCCAGAAGGTAGGTGTTGCTGTCTCGGGAGACAGCATGAGGGAGGATTATCACAAAGTTGACCGTGGTTCTGAGAATTAGTGGTCTGGTCACTTCTAGACCCTAATAAAATCCCCTATTTGCAATTGGCTTAGATTTTTGTATTTTATTTTTCTTGATTTATTAGATTATTTTCATTCAAGAAGTGTTTGTGTATATCATTCATTGAAGTAAACCTCTTTTTTTTTTTCCTGTGTTTTCTTTCTTTCTTTTTTTTTGAGATAGGGTCTTGCTTTCACCCAGGCTGCAGTGCAGTGGCATGATCATAGCTCACAGCGCTCAACCTGCTGGGCTCAAGTGATCCTCCCAACCCAGCCTCCCGAGCAGCCAGGACGACAGGCTCACGCCACCATGCCTGGCTAATTTTTAAATTTTTTTGTGGAGAGAGGGACTCGCTTTGCTGCCCAGGCTGGTCTTGAACTCCTTTGCTCAAGTGATCCTCGCGCCTCAGTCTCCCAGTGTTGGGAATACAGCCATGAGCCACCGCGCCCGGCCTCTTGAACTTGTTCTGGGCTCTAGATCGACAGGAATGATAATGCTGACGGTTTGAAGCGCTGAGTGGCGGCTTGCTGTGTGCTCGTTTGTGGTTGACTCTGCGTGGCCTGCCACCTGGCACTGTGGACGCCACACATGGGCCCGGCGTGCCCTCTTCACAGACAGCCTCATCCCGTGTCCACCCAAGGACAAGCACCAGCACGGGCCGAGCCCCCAACCTCGTCGCAGCCGTGCTCTTGCCCCTGGCCAGGCATGGGCACCTGGGCCATTGTCTCAGGGAAACCGAGGAAGGTCTTAGACATAGTTTCGGAGTTAAATTCATGCTTTTTCAGTTCTGAGGGGGTCAGTTAGGAGTGACGCATTTCATAAGAGTGAAGAGTGGAAAATTGAGAGTCAAGCTGACGTACGTATCAGTGGTTTTATTGTTCAGGTGTGTCCAGCCATCTTCATTTAGACGCAATCTTGTATCTAATAAATTATGATAAAACTAATAGTAGGAATAGCAATCCAGGTGAATTCATCCAAATACTGACTTATTTGAACATGCATAATTTTAGTGGTTAGCTTTATCCACTTTCAGTCAGCTTCGTGTGCTATGAGTGTACCCTTGAATGTATACAAAGCATTTTCTGTCATTTGTCAGAGTTTTGGGGATGTGCTTTCTTCCTTTTGCTTCTGTTTCAAAGTCTGTTGTACATTTTTACCAGGTTTTAGGGCAAATCTTTAAATGTTGCTCCCAGCTCTTAGCTTGATTATTTAAAAATTAGTGGGAAATGTTACCATTAGATATTTAAAGAGGATTTAAACATTTTTTATTTTAAGATAATTATTAGTTTTTTCTCATTTTATATGAGGAAGCATAAGGAAGAAGATAAACAGCATCATCACTCCATGGTCCTGGTGGCTCTGGCACGCTTTGAAACAGTCACTACAGTAACTTCCTTAGACGTGCCCAGCACAGCCTCGCCCTCCCCAGAGGACGGGCAGCCCTGGCTGCACCGGGGGGAGCAGCGGCGACTCCCATTAAGCTCCTGCCCCAGCAGCTGCCGCGGGCTCTGCACACACGTGTCTGTCGCTCCAGTGCACTGTCTGTTCAGCTGTGTTACGCTCTTTTCTGTCAAGTTACAAGCGGTGCTTCAGGGGCGTTCAGTGTCGCAGTTTTGCTGAGTGTGCTCCTGGCTGGTAAGTGCTGTCTGCATTTACAGTGTAGCACTTCACTGTAACCAGGCCAGCTCTGAGTGTACCTTCCCGCCTGCGGAGACCTGAGCGGGCTGGTTTCCTCACCCTCCCCAGCAGGGCTGCCTGCTTGGAGTCCAGCAGCTCTTCACTGCTGAGTCAGGCCTGGGGCTGAGCAGCCACCGTGTTTGTTCCTCTGTACGCTGCTTGCTCAGTAGCCCCTGCTCATTCTTCTCCTGGATGGTGCATCTTTTGAATGTAGTCTGATGATCTTTTTGTCAAGGAAGAGTTGATCTGTTGGCTCCAGTATGAGCTGCGGCTTTTTCCCCAGGTGGATTTTGGGTTTTTTGTTTTATTTTTTGTTTTTTGGGGACAGGTCTCACTCTGTTGCCCAGGTTGGAGCGCAGTGGCGTGATCACAGCACAGTGCACCTTGAACTCCTGGGCTGAGGGGATCTTCCTGCCTCAGCTTCCTGAGTAGCTGGGGCTACAGGCACCTGCTACCATGTCCAGCTGATGTTTTTTATTTTTTGTAGAGACAGGATCCCACTGTGTTGCCCAGGCTGGTTGAACTCCTGGGCCTAAGTGAACCTTCCACCTCACCTTGCAAAAGTGTTGGGATTACAGGCGTGAGCCACCACACCCAGCTGATTTTATCTTTTGACCTTGTCTGTAGTGTCAGAACTCCCAGGTACTAGCCAATTGCTTTATGATTTCTGGGTTCTGGGTTCTAATTATGATAAACCTTTCTCATTGGTGATTTTGAATAAATTGATGTATGCTATCCTCAAATACTTCTTTTATTTCATTCTTGTATATAAATAGTTGATTCATATAGAATTAAAATATCAGGTAGAACTGCTCAGAATGGGTGAAGTTTATGACATATTAATTATATCTCAATAAATCTTTTAAAAGAAAATGTGAGGTAAGGGTCCCAGGGCTTCCCTCAAAATGCTTAGGTTTCAGCTTCACTTACTGACCGACATGTCTTCCCTTCTCATTTACAACACCATGTTTATCATGTACCACATGGCATATTAATTTGAGTCTATTTCTAGATTCTCTCTTTCTATTGAGGTTCTCATCTTCTAGAGGAACTGGACACTGAATAACTAGGTATTTGTCATAAAGTAAAACATTAAATGACTGTCAAGGCAAGAAAAGAATCAAGAAACAAAAGCAGAGCCAAGAAGAAAATGTGGTCAGTGTAAAACAGAACAAGATGGCAGGAGCAGCCTTAACTAGATGGGCACTGGCAATCGACGTGATCGTTTTGTTACATAAGTGGCTCCAGAGAACAGAGAAGGACAGGAAAAGTACGCTAGCCCATTCTGAGGTAAAATACAGGCTCAACTCACCTCAATCCTAAATACAGAAGTCCCAAATAAATTTTTTTTTTTGAGACGGAGTCAGGCGCTGTCACCCAGGCTGGAGTGCAATGGTGCAATCTCGGCTCACTGCAACCTCTGCCTCCCAGGTTCAAGCAATTCTCCTGCCTCAGCCTCCCAAGTAGCTGGGATTACAGGTGTGAGCCACCACACCCAGGCTAATTTTTGTATTTTTAGTAGAGACGGGGTTTCACCATGTTGGCCAGGCTGGTCTTGAACTCCTGACCTCAAGCGATCTACCTGCCTCGGCCTCCCAAAGTGCTGGGATTACAGGCGTGAGCCACCACACCCGGCCTCCTAAATAAAATACTGATCAAATGCAATGACGTATTAAAATAATGATCGTAGGGAAGTGGGGCTTGCCCCATGATGAGAGTGACTCATTATAGAAACAGATGATTTAAAGACCAGGATTTACCAGGTTAACAGAGTAAATGAAAAAACTACAGACTGTATATGTGTTTAAAAGGCATTTTATAAAGTTCAGGCAGCTTTCTGTTTTCTGAATTTGGGGGACTACATTCTAATTGCATGTACGACAGTGGTACAGTTCAGTAATGATGGAAGACTGATGCACCTGTGTGGCCACCACCCAGATCAAAGCTTTGAATTTTGGCAGCGCTGCGGAAGCCCACTGACCTCCCATCCCCAAAAGTAACCCCTCTCCTGAGTGCTCACCCTACAGGATTGTCGTGTTTGGTTTCGTTCCTTATGTAATATGCATTCTTTCTTTTTTTTCTTTGAGTGTGGCTTACTTTACTTCACATTGTGTTTGTGGGATTTATTTACATTATTAGTTAATTTTCATTGTTATGGAATAGTAGTTTTCAGAGTGGTCTGGGTGGGGACATTCTGAGACCTGTTCAGAGAGTCTGCAGATCAAAACTGTTGTCATACTAATGCTAGGTGTTGGGTGCCTTTTTCACTCTCATTCATGGAATTACATGTGATGGCAGCTTTGCTGCGGTGGCTGACACTGTCCTTGTAGTTTGAACATGTCTCATCTTAAATTTCTACTGCAGTACATGTTAATAGATACTTGCATTAACAAACGCTCTTTATGGTTCTTGGTGCTATTTCAGAGTGTGCGGGGCCTGAGGCCAGGGGGTTGACCATACTGGTTCCTCTGTATGGCTGCTCTGTGTCTGTGTCCGTCCCACTGTGGATGGCCCGTGGGTGGTTCCAGTGGGGCCGTTCCAGAGAAGGTTGCCACCATCACCCTCATACAGGTGTTGCGCCAGGTACCCACTGGGAATGGAACCGCCATGCCTTGTGCTGGCCTCCATGGACCCTGCCGTGCGGCTCCCCATGGTGGCCGCTGAGGTTGCCGCCTTCCCCACCACCTCGGAGTGTCCCCTCTGCTGTGCCGGCCACATTCGGTGCTGCCACTCCAGCGAGCAGATAGTGGCATTACGTTTTCACTTTAAATTGCATTTTCATGATTTATAAGACGGTTGAATACTTTTTCACATACTCATTTTGCCACTTGGGTGCCTTTTGTGAAGTGCCTGTTCACATCCCAACCATTTACTGGGCCATTTGTCCTTTTCGAAACGTGTTTTGTAGGGGTTCTTTGGCCTGGAAACAAGCCCTTGTTGTGTAGTCGCCATGGTACCTTCTTCTGCGTGTAACCTGCCTTTCGACTGAAACAGCTGGTGTCCCGGTGTAGCCATTCTGCTCGGAAGCCGCTTGCAGGGACCTGTTGCCTGACAGCTGGGTGCGGCAGCCACTCTGGGTGCTAGTGAAGGGAGAGCTGGACCCTCTCCCCTCTTAGTTTGAACCCATAAGTGAGCCTCATGTCCAGAGTTGTGTCCTGCTGGGCGGGGGACAGGCAGCTTTTGGTCTGTCCCCAGCAGCCTGGCCTGCACCTGGCTTGCTCTCTTCCTGTTTCACTTGGGTGTCAGCCTTCTCAGTTCACCTGCTTCAGAGTCCAAGTTCTCTGTTTACTTTCTTTATTTTTTTTGAGAAGGGGTCTTGCTCTGTTGTGCAGGCTGGGGTGAGTGCAGTGGCAAATCATAGTTTATTGTAGTCTTCACCTCCTGGGCTCAAATGATCCTCCCACCTCAGCCTCCAAGGTTGCTGGGACCACAGGCGTGCGCCACCATGCCCAGCTAATATTTTTTTAAATTAATTTTTTTGTTGAGACGAGGTCCTCTCAATCGACAGCCTCTCGCTCTGTTGCCCAGGTTAATCTTGAACTTCTGGGCTCACGTGATAACCTGCCGTGGCTTCCCAAAGTGCCGGATTCTCCGTGCGAGCCGTGGCGTCCAGCCGCTTTTAAATTCTGATGTCAGCCGTTACCCCTTCCCTTGCTCATCTCCTTGGGTTTTCAGCTTCCGCCTGATTCCTTACAGCTGTCGTGTGCACAGCGATCAAGCAGCCTCTTATAAAGAAGCTCTTGTTCCTTCCTTAAAAGTCGCTTTGCCAGAGTTTTGGAAGGAAGTGGAGTTAACTGTGTTGTTAGTCCGCTTTTAATTGGTGGTTTCGTTGCCCTGTCTTATTTTTAAAATAAGAAAACTATCCAACGAAATGAAAACTCCTGTGAAAGCTGAGTGACGGCGTCGGAATGCTTACAAAAGGGTTCGAACATTTCAATGGTCAGTCATGAAACCAGGGAGGAGGGGCTGTTGCTTTCACCTGTGACACGAATACAGCAGCATTGACCGTTCCTGCTGATTCTGTAAGAGAAGAACCAGAAAGAAACATTAATATTGTAAAAGACAGGAGAGAAGAGTTTGCTGGGAATATACTCATCCATCTGAAACATCCAGCAAAATCAGCTCAAAAACTATTACAGCTACTAAGCTGATCTTACATGTGATCAAGACATAAAAACCAGTTATTTTCTTGTATAGCTACAGTAAGCAATTAGAAAATGTGGTGTCAGCATTATCAGTAAAATCAGTAATTGTCTAGGGATATTTTAAAAGATTTTCTATGTAGAAAATTTCAAGCTCCGCAAACACACGGAGGACGGTGAAGAGCCTCCGGCATTCGGCCTCGTGCTCCACACGTGGGCTGTCTTGGAGTGGGTATTTCAGTAGGATCTTTAAAAGATAAGGACTCTTTGAAAGACAAACCACAATATCAGACCTAAAAAGTTAGTTATAATTTCTTAATATCACCAGAGTACCCAGAAATAAACTTAACAGAAAAACCGAGCGCTCCTTGTTAATGTGGAGGAAAACTAGGAAACTGATGAAAGAGGTTAAAAATTAAGTTCCTGGAGAGACTCGTCGTTTGTTTGTCTGAGTGAGAAGATCCACTGTTTTATTTTCTCCATGTTTGCCTCTAAATTCAGAACAGCTCCCATCGAGACCCTAGCCGGACTTTTGTGTAAACTGCTGGTTCTGAAGTGAGGGTGGAGGCGGAGACCCTCTAGAGTAGTGGGGGGACTGTGCACGGTGGGGGACACCCGAGCACAGGACGTGGCTGCCGGAGGGAACGCTTACTGAGGAGCGCTGAGGCGGTTAGTGAGGGGGACGGGGAGCCTGTGATATGTGTATAAAGGTCGATGGTAAGACTGGGGTTTTAAGTCAGTGGACAAGGGGTCATGAACTTTTTAATAACTATGATTGGGCCGTTGACTAATATTTGGGAGCAGGCAGCCCTCACTTGTGTCAGGGTAGGTAACAAATATGGGCTCCGTTCTGGAGTCAGACCGTGGTGCCAGCTGCACGGCTCAGAACGTAGTAAAAACCACTGAACCGTACACTTCGCAGGGTCCGTCTTAGAGTAGGTGAAATATATCTTACTGTGGCTATTATTTTAAAACACAAATTCCAGAAGACTTAAAGTGTCAACACAAGATACTGAACTATTGGTAAAAACATTGGGAACTGTTTTTTCCAATCTCAAATGAGGAAGTTCTTCTAGTGTAAGACACAAACCCAGAAGCCATGAAGGAAAAGATGGGCACCTTTGACTTGTTCAGATAAAATTCAAAAGTGTTACGGAATAAGAGGTATCAGAAATGGAACTTTAAAAACTTGATAGGAAAAACAGGGATCTCGCTGTGTTGCCCGGGCTGATCTTGAACTTCTGGCCTCAAGCAATCCACTCACCTCAGCCTCCCAGAGTGTTGGGGTTACAAGCATGAGCCGTCAAGCCCGTAGAACACACCCTTGATGTGAAGTCACATGGGTGCCTGTCCGCTGGGAAATGCAGAGAATAGCGGAATAGCACAGCCAGAGCAGCCCGCGCCGCCTCAGGGAGCGCCAGGCACAGGGCGGACAGAGACTCACGGATGTTTCAGTGTCTTTTGCACTGAACGTCTATTTGTGTACTGTCTGTGCTTATAGAAAAGATAAATACCGCAGAAAAAATAGGGTGTGTCTGTTCTGGTGTGGAAAGAATTCCAGAACACATTTTTAATTAGAAGAAAACAATATTCACAGAACTGTCGAGTGTCCTTCCATCTGAGCAGACTAGAAATGCACTGTCGTCTGTGGGCCCGCGTCTGCCTGGACATTCACTGGAAGGAGGCGTGGGCAGCTTAGCTGTGGTGGCTCTGAGGATGGGACTGGGATCATGGGTGTGTGGGGGTAGGTCTCACACTGTGTCTTGTTTTGTGGCTTCTGAACATCGTTTTATGATTGTTCTGTGTGTTTTGTGACCTGTTTATTGAATTCTTCCATTCGTAAGATACATGGAGCACTTGAGCCCTCACTAATACAGCACCCAGCGGGTGAGCCTTGCCTGCGTCCGCACCAGGGCAGCCACTCTCTGGTCCCGATGTGGAGACAGGACCGGGGAGCAGAGTGGAAGCTCAGAGTGTGCCTCTGGGCCTGCCTGGACCAGCACTTGGTCATCCCACACACCAGCCAGGGCTGGAGCAGGCTGGCGGTGCCCCCACCCTGCGAGCGTCTCCGGTGTGTACGGCCAGGGCACGTTTCGAGGTTTGTTTTGGATCCGTCATCTGCCACTAAAGGATGTAATTGGTTTCTGTTTTCTGTTTGGGTTCCCGCTTCGACTGTGTGGCTGATCAGATGGACGGGGAGTCTGAGGAGGAGCAGGAGTCCGTGGACACCGGGGAGGAGGAGGAAGGCGGTGACGAGTCTGACCTGGTAATCCCCAGCGCCTCCTTCTGCGTCTGTGCTGAAGTAGAGGAGATGCAAAGACACCAGCGTCCTTCAGTCCTTTACCCAGCCCTTGTTGCCTGAGCACTCACACATGTGCTTGGAGCTGGTCATGACGATGGCCACAGATGGGTCCTGTCCCTGGCAAAGCCTCATGAGAAAGACACCGTGCAGAGCTGCAGCACAGGACTGGGCCTGGCACGGGGCTGCGCCGGCTGCGTGCGGGGTCGGGGAGAGCTGAGGGGCCTTTGGAGGCTCTCAGAGGGAGAGGGTGTGGTGGGAGTCAGCAGCAAGGACAGCTGTTGGGGATTCCGCTGCACTGGCTGATGTGCGAGAAGGAAGGGCTGGATTTGAGGTGTTTCCAGGTAGAATGGACAGAACTTTCTGGTGGTGAGGACAGGAGGGAAGAGGGGTTCTGCTCCGTCCCTACTAAAGCCTGTTATTCGTGGAGGAGGGTTCAGGTCGGAGTTGTGCACCCTGCTCTGCAGGAATTGGGGGTTGGAAATGGGGAAGAGCAGCGAGTCCCCAGGATGGAGCCTCAGGGAGCTCCCAGCCTGTGAGGGCTCCACAGGGGAGGAGAAGTTGGCTCCTGCATCTGAGGAGGGGCTCTCTGTGCCATGGGGAGAAAACTCAGCAAGTTTGGGTCACATGAATGGGGAAATGCTCTGAAACAGGAGAAGTGGCCCATGATGTGGGCTCATCACACCAGCGAGTGGGAGGAGGACACGGGGGCCGTGGTGTGTGGTGATGAAGGGGTCTGTTTTTGGGTGGCAGAGGGGCAACTAGATTTCTAGCAGCAGCAACTTTGGGTGTGGCGCTTGCACAACTTCTTCCCAAAAGTTTTGCTGTGCGGGGAGCACCGGGGAGCTGGGGCTGTGTGTGCTGTAGACAGGTCCGTCCTCACGTGGGACCCGACTCAGGACAGAATGCTGCCCAGCAACAGGCCTTGTGCAGGGGCACGTTCAGTTGGTCAGCGAGGCCCATGTGCTGCCACTGTGCCTACCTTAAATGTCCCTCTGCCCACTGTGGCCTTCACGTGGCCTCCTGTGGAGGGGCGGGGGCGCCTGCTGTGCACCCGTGTGGCCTGTGCCACAGATGCCCTTGCTGCATCCGGATTTTAGAAGCAGATGCTTAAAACACATCTTGAAATATTACAAGTTAATTACAGCCTCTGTCCTTGTTCTCTGTGTAGGTGATTGATGTGGGTATAGATTCTGAAGCGAACTGAGCCTTGATTGTTCTTTTCCTGTGAGTGAGATGAATGGACCCTGATGAGCAGCCATGGATCCTTTTCCTGAGCTTATTTATTTAGTTCCTGAGTAGAACTTTCCAATTTACTTATTCTTTTCTTTTGTGCCAAACTCAAATAAGACTTATAAATTTCACTTTTTATTTTTGTTTTTGTTTTGCCTCTAAAGGGACTGAGCTTAGAGAGATAGTTAGGAAAAAGCACAGCGTGCCTTTCAGCGTGTGACCCAGGAAAATGTCTACAAGTTAAGTTCACTATTTAATTGAAGATCAAGACATAGCCAGTGTTCTGTTTTGCAAGAAAACACTTGTAGTGCTCTTGCCTTCCGTAGCTGCCTGTGCTCAGTGGTTTATATGCCTGCCCCTTTGGTTCTCCAGAGTTCGGAGTCCAGCCTCAAGAAGAAATTTCTCAAGAGGAAAGGAAAGACCGACAGCCCCTGGATCAAGCCAGCCAGGAAAAGGAGGCGGAGAAGTAGAAAGAAGCCCAGCGGTGCCCTCGGTAAATGCCGTAGGGGGGTGGGCCATCTCGGGGACTGCCTGGGCGGGGGATGAGGCCAGGAGGCCCACCTGGGGTTGGGGTGCATAGGATTTCATTAGAAGAGAAGGCTTCACTGTTTTTTAAAAAAATGTTCGCAATGACTTTGTTAGAGAAGCTCAAGTGAAACTCTAAAGTTTCAAGAGAAACTTTAAAACTCAAGAGAAACTCTAAAGTAGTTTCCTTCTGGCCAGTGTAGTGGATGTTGACTTCACTGGTTTTTTTTTTTTTTTTTTTTTTTGAGATGGAGTCTCGCTCTGTTGCCCAGGCTGGAGTGCAGTGGCCTGATTTCGGCTTACTGCAAGCTCCGCCTCCCATGTTCACACCATTCTCCTGCCTCAGCCTCCCAAGTAGCTGGGACTACAGGTGCCCGCCACCATGCCTGGCTAACTTTTTGTATTTTTGGTAGAGGCGGGGGTTCACCGTGTTAGCCAGGATGGTCTTGATCTCCTGACCTCGTGATCCGCCCGCCTCGGCCTCCCAAAGTGCTGGAATTACAGGCGTGAGCCACCGCGCCCGACCCACTGTTGTTTTTAATTTTTTTTTTTTTTTTTGAGACAGGATCTGGTTTTGTTACCCAGGCTGGAGTGCAGTGGCTCAATCTCAGCTCACTGTAGCTTCCATCTTCTGGGCTCAGGCGATCCTCCTACCTCATCTCCCCAGGAAGCCGAGACTATAGGCATGTGCCTTCATGCCTAGTTTATTTTTTTGTGTTTTTTTGGTAGAGATGGGGTTTTGCTCTGTTGGCCAGGCTGGTCTCGAACTCCTGAGCTCAAGTGATCTGCCCGTTTTGGCCTCCCAAAGTGCTGGGATTACAGGCGTGAGCCACCGCGCCCGACCCCGACTTCACTGTTGAATGTTGAACGGAGGTGAATCCTTTGCTGCCTGTGTGGGTGACTGGAGCCTGTGGCCTTCACGGTTAGCTCCCACGCTGTGTGCAGGAAGCGGCCCCTCAGTGAGGCACCTGCGCCTCCGCCAGTCTCCTGTTCCAGAGGGACTTTGTGAATCGCAGCGTGAATGTGGGAAGGAAATCCCCTCAAATCCAGAGGGATGCAGGAGGCTTAGGGTGCCAAGGGCTGTTTTTGGTTTCAGCTTAACCGAGGTGCACCTGGAATACAATAAAATGCACAGAAGTAAATTACACAATTTGGCAAGTTTTAATGCGTTTATGACCTTGAATCTGTCACCACAGTTAGACGATCAGTGCCATGAGCACCTCTGTCACCCCAGATCCCTCCTGCCCCTTGATAACCTGGCCCCTTCCCTGCCCCCAGGCAGCCCCTGGTCTGCTCTGCTTCTGCTTATTGGTTAGTGTTTTGTAGAATTTTATGTAGATGGTCTGTGCAGTTGTTTTTCATCTGGCTTCTCTGAGTATAATTGTTTTGAGTTGCCGGGCTGTCGAATGGCCAGGAGTTTGTTCCTGTCCATTGCTGAGAAGTGTCCCATTGTGTGGCTGCCCCACAGTCTATCTGTCCATTCATCTGTCCATGGGCTTTGGGCTCTTTCCAGCCTTGAGCTGCTAGAAATTGAGCAGCCGTGAACATTTGTGTGCAAGTCTTTTTTGAACAGGTGCTTTCCTAGATCTTGGTTAGATACCTGGGAGTGGAATGGCTGAGTAGAGTGGCATGTGTTCAGCTCTTCAGGAAGCTGCCAGGCTGTTTTCCAAGCACTAGTCCTGTTTTTGGTCCCCACAACACACAAGCATTCCAGTTCCCCTCTGTCTGCACCAGCGCTTGTTAGGGTTAGTCTTTTTAATTTCAGTGGATCTATAGGTGTGCATTGGTGTTTTACTGTAGTTTCAATGCTGTTACCTAGTGAGTAATGAGATTGTACATTTTAGCCTTCATTTATTTTTTTTGAAACGTGTCTGTTCACATCTTTTGCTCACTTTTAAAATCTGGTGGTTTTTCTTCTCATTGGGTTAAAAGAGCTTTTTAAATATTCTGGATACAAGTCTTCTATCAGGCGGATGCTTTGCGTGTATTTGTACCTAGTCCATGGCCTGCCTTTTTGTTTTCTTAATGCTATATTTAGAAGAGCAAAAGTTGTTAAGATTTTCTTGAAGTCCAAGAAATCATTTTACGTTGATCATTATGAATCATTTTACGTTGTGATTCATACTTTTGTGCTCTAAGAAATCTTTGACAGACCCAGGTCACAGAGGTTTTGTCCCATGTTTCTTCTTGGCATCTAACAAGTTTATTTTGCACTAATGTTTGAGTGAGCTGTGGTGCAGGCCCCTTCTTGGCAGTGGATGTGCGGTTGCCATAGGCACTGCTGCTCAAGTTGACTTTTCTCCCGCTGTTGACATTCAGTGTGTGGGCTGTTCCTGGACATTCCAGTCTGTTTCATTTATTTATTTGTTGATCCTTATACCAGTGTCACCGAGTGGCAGCACTTTGTTGTTCTTCACAGTGATTTTGGCTAATCTGGATTCCCCAGCGTAGAATAGGTCTGTTAACTGGATGTTGGGGAGGCAGTCGTCCCCTGAAACGGAGAAGGTTGTGGGAGGCCTGGGGCGTGAGGCAGTCACCATGGAGGCTCCTGGCGTTTAAGGGTGGAGGACGTGTGAGCCCCCCGGGAGCTTCATGTGGTCCTTCAGTTACGTTTCTCTTCACCTCAGTTTATTGATTCAGATCATAACACCAGATGTGGCTTTTACTGTTGGCCAACAAAAGCATTTTAGAGCCAAGGCTGAAAGTTGTTTTTGGGTTAGAGATTTCATCTTTGTCATCTTGGCTGTAATGTGCAAAGTGTGTGCTTTTAAATATTCACAGAGGAATTTGAATTTTATTTCTTTATGAATTTTTTAAAAATCTTCTTTTCGTTTAAAACTATACAAAGTGTCCTCCTGTTCTTCAAGTTGATGGTGGTGATTTCTCAAAGGTGGTTGACTTTTCCTGTCTGTCTAAGATCTAGGTGGAGCATGTGGCTTGAATGAAAAGACTGGTTACCGGCTGGGCGTGGTGGCTCAAGCCTGTAATCCCAGCACTTTGGGAGGCCGAGATGGGCGGATCACAAGGTCAGGAGATTGAGATCATCCTGGCTAACACGCTGAAACCCTGTCTCTACTAAAAATTACAAAAAACTAGCCGGGCGAGGTGGCGGGCGCCTGTAGTCTCAGCTACTCGGGAGGCTGAGGCAGGAGAATGGCGGGAACCCGGGAGGCGGAGCTTGCAGTGAGCTGAGATCCGGCCACTGCACTCCAGCCTGGGCGACAGAGCGAGACTCTGTCTCAAAAAAGAAAAGACTGGTTACCACACCTCTCTGTACTAGTGTTCATTTATTTCCAGTCAATGAAATAAGATTGGTGACTAGTCCCTAGAAGCTTGGCCGTGAAATGTGACCATCTGCCCTTGGCCGGAGTTGGATATTACCTGGTATAGGTACACACTTTCACAGGCCTCCTCAGTGAAATGCCCTTGTGATTGCAAACACCCAATTTTGTGTATCTTTCTCCGGCCCTCCTGGGAAGTGTGGACAGGCTGGCCTGGCCACCACTCGTGTGTCCTTGAGGGCAGGAGAGCCCACGGAAGTGTTTGCACCCCCCACTGCCCTCGCTGCCAGCCTAGGGGCACTGGTCCCTCTCACAGTACCCTGCTCCCTGGCACCTTCTGTGGGTGTTGTGAGCCTCCCATGTCTACTGGGGTCGACACTGATCCTTTCCGGGAGCCTCCCTGGACGTCAGCCAGGACACCTGGGTGGGCAGTGCTTTCTCTTGGACACAGATTTGCCTGCAACATGGCACCTTGGGCCATCTCTTTAGCTACTTTACCTCTGATCTTTCAAATCTGCAAGTTAGGTGTTTCTGTTTTATGTAAAAATAATCCACAACATGTGACTGCCATGTTTTATCTGTTTCTTTGATCATTCGATAGCTTTTATGCAGTTGGGATAGTTACAGAGAAAGATGTACCGAAGTGTTGGTGCCTTTGTTTTCGTCTATACAGCTTCTCTCCTCCCCATGAATATTATGTCTAAAAGAGGGGGAATCAGCACAATAATATGCAAGAGAGAAAATGATAGTGAAACTGGAATGGCCTAAACAATAGTGGGTTTCAGCTTGTGGTTTTGAATGGATTAATTAGAAGTAGTCCATTTCCTGGGGCCCCAGCCTTACTGCCCTGTGCGTGGGTGGGTGCGGCCGCCTGGGTGCATGGTGTCTGATGTGTGTGCTTTTCATACCTAGGTTCTGAGTCGTATAAGTCATCTTCAGGAAGCGGTGAGCAGACGGCACCAGGAGACAGCACAGGGTACATGGAAGTTTCTCTGGACTCCCTGGATCTCCGCGTCAAAGGAATTCTGTCTTCACAAGCAGAAGGTGAATGTGGTGTTGTAACTGAGACCGGGCACCATCTTGGTCCTTTGTCTTCGGGGCTCCTTCCTCTGTATTAGCACGATGCCCCCTGGTGGACACTAGTAGAAGATCGGGTTAACGGCATCACTTCCAGGTGAGGTGTAGACAGGACGGGGTGCGTCTGCTGTGTCCCAGTGTGCAAGTGAAAAACCAGAAATTACGGAAACCCTCTACGAGTAAACTGGCAAAGCCCAAGCAAGGCCCAGCGTGGCGGTCGTCTCCCTCCACAGGTCAGGCGTGCTCTGTGGAGGATTGCCCATGGCCAGACACCCTTCCTCCCGGTGGCCTCTCAGGACACACAAGGACGTGCTGTTGAATAAGGTGTCTCTGATTGGCTGAAATACGTCCCTGGTCAGTGTTGAGCTGAGAGCTCTGACACATATTCTGTCGTGGAATATTCGTATTTAGTGTATTTTTGTACCTCGAAATCACAGGTGAATCAACGGCTTCTGTTGGGGGTTGTTGTGCCAGAAGTTGTCAGTTCTCACACTTTCTATCAGTTGTTTTCTCTTTTTAAGCCACTTAGAAACCTTATATGAGTTAAAAGTAACTAATAGCTATTTGATTATCTGGGAAGATTTATTTGAAGCATGATGTGGAGGAAATGGAAATCTTATATTATTTACATTCCACACAGATCTTGCTGGTGTGGCATTGCAGACTACTGTGAGAGGTTTAATGGGCCATTTAAAAATGACAGATAACTAGCTTTTTAGGGTTTTGAACACTGAGGGTGGTTTGAGTCACCTATGTAACTCACCTAGAAAATCCCATCTTTAGCTTAAGGTAGAAATCTTAGGCTTGTCCATCATGGAAACGATGATATTTTTTCCTCTTGCGCCAAATGGAGCAGAAACCCCCCTCAAGTATCACCACGTCCTTTGCGTGGTCGCCCCACGCTTGCTTTCTCGACAGAGTGTAACACTGAGTGTCCCAGTTCTAAACTTGCTTTTAGATTCGGGGGTCTCAGGAAGTTACTTGGTTTTAAGTAGTAAATACTATTTCATTTTATCAAATCGCCTCCTGCTGTGGTGGCCTTGGGCCTGCTGAGTGGCAGGAGACAGGGAGCTGGCACATGAGGGCTCTTCCAGGAAATTACTTGGTTTTAAGTAGTAAATAGTATTTCATTTTATCAAATCGCCTCCTGCTGTGGTGGCCTTGGGCCTGCTGAGTGGCAGGAGACAGGGAGCTGGCACATGAGGGCTCTTCCAGCTGTCAGTGTGCACCTGCTGTCTCCGGTAAGGTAAGGTGGGGAAGGTAGCTATAAAGGAAGGATGGTGCCGAGCATCAGGGCCAGAAGGGCGAGAGCCAACGCGGAGCCGGAGGAGAAACGGCAACGAGTAGGGGCTCCTCGGCTTGTGTGACGTTTTATAAACTGACCTCCCAAAATTGATGTACCTGTTTTATCAGCACCGATTGGTCAGTCAGCGATTGGCCTGTTCAGTCGTGCTTTCGATGTAGACCATCAGTGCGTAGAAGAGACAGGCAGTGGTGCCCACTGTGCTGGCCGTGTGGCCCAGGACCCCAGAGGGAGGCGGTGATCAAGGGGTGCTGGACAGGATCTGGGGCTCTGGGAGACCTGGGTGGTGTGCGTCTCAGATGGGATAGGCGCGATCGGCCTGTGGAGTGTGCTGAGCGGGTAAGTGGGGGCAGGTGATGCCTCTGGTTGTGGTTCAGGGGGTCTAGGCTTGAGCCTTGGGCCAAGGAGAAAGTGAAGATCAGAAGTGCTCTCCGTATGCATTCGTCTCTCTCTCCGTTGCCTTGCTCTTGGGCCTGCCTTGTTGAGGCTGAATGGCGATGTCACCCAGCGGCGACAGGAGGCAGAGGGTCTGAGCCTGGGAGAGGCCAGGAGCCGGTAACCATGGCAACGTGGCCTCGGGCGGGAGAGCCAGAGCTTGGTGGAGGTTGGTTGCTTGAGGGACAGAAACGCTCCACCTGCACGGAGTTGTCTGAGCCACAGCGTCGTTATCCAAGCATGTAGACCCTGGGTTCTCACCTGTCTCACTGCAGCCTCTCGGCAGCTCTCGGCCGGCACTGTGGTAGGACAGTCATCTCACAGCTTTGTGTGGTTTGTGTCCGTCTTCTCCTTTTAAAAATCTGGTTGCTAAGCAGGATCATCTCAGAGGCCCGCCCAGCTTTAAACTTGTAGTGATTCTAATTCAAGTTCCACCTCATCGTTTTCCCGGTCTTTAGGGGTACGGGTGATCCGGAGGCGAGGCTGGGATCTCAGGCAGCACATGATTAGGAAGCACCTCTGTGCCGGAGTCGGTGCCACCTGCACGGAGAGTCCTTGATGGCAGTGTGGGCTGTTCACATGCTTATTGGCTCTTTGCACAGAGTTGGATTCTCTCCTGGCCATGACCAGTATCAGATTCCAAATGGGCTGGAGACAAACAGAAGCGGCTGTGGGTGACTCAGCGTGGGTGTTGTCAAAAGATGCACTAAGGCGCAGTGCAGCTCTTAAAGGGTTTCCTTGAGCAGCGATTCATGAACCGGGCAGCTCCAAACCAGAAGCACGTTGGGAGCTGCACTGAGGAAACACGAGGGGATTGGGAGCTGCCCTGAGGAAACACGAGGGGGTTGGGAGCTGCACTGAGGAAACACGAGGGGGTTGGGAGCTGCCCTGAGGAAACACGAGGGGGTTGGGAGCTGCACTGAGGAAACACGAGGGGGTTGGGAGCTGCCCTGAGGAAACACGAGGGGGTTGGGAGCTGCCCTGAGGAAACACGAGGGGGTTGGGAGCTGCCCTGAGGAAACACGAGGGGGTTGGGAGCAGCCCTGAGGAAACACGAGGGGAAGGATTTTTCGGGTGAACAGGGAAGTAAAACCAGGAAAACACCCAACGGGGTCATGACACAGTTTCCTCGCTTGTTCTGTCCCTGCTGCAAAGTCCCTAGTTCTGGAGATTGGTTGGCTGCTTCTGGATGGTGGAGCTTAAGTTTTCTTTTTCTTTACTGTAGGCATTTGCAAGAAGTAGCCCACGAGATCCTTTGTTTTCAAATCAAGCAAGGCCAAGATGGCTTCCTTGGCTCAACTGGCTTTGTCTGTTCAAGGATTCTTTAGTCCTGGTCTCCATTTTAATTGACTTTAACACTATATTTTTAGATGTGAAAACAAGAGTTTTTTTTTTAATTTTATTTTTATTTTTTGAGACAGAGCCTCCCTCTGTCACCAGGCTGGAGTGCAGTGGCAGGATCTCGGCTCACTGCAACCTCTGACTCCCTGGTTCAAGTGATTCTCCTACCTCAGCCTCCCAAGTAGCAGGGATTACAGGCACGTGCCCCACGCCCAGCTAGTTTTTTTTGTTTTTTTTTTTTTTTTAGTAGAGACGGGGTTTCACCATGTTGTCAGGGGGGGTCTCCATCTCCTGACCTCGTGATCCGCCTGCCTTGGCCTCCCAAAGTGCTGGGATTATAGGCGTGAGCCACCGCGCCCAGCCAAGAGTTAATTATTTTTAATTAAGACAGGCAATAGTGAGTATTTGAGACACTGATTCACCTTCTACTTCTGCTTTGACGGTTTAACAAGAAAGAAAATGTGAAACGCGATCTTGCTTTCTTTGGGAGCAGCACCCACTGAAGCTACTTGCCAAGCTTGAGGGTCTTCCTGGCGGCTGTCCTCCACCCCTGCCCCTGCCGCTCAACAGCCTTGGCCTTGCTGGTCTCTCCCACCCCGGGCTGGGGGCAGGGCGTGGGGGGCACCACCCCTGGCTGTGTTGGGACGGGCCCAAGGCCGCCTGCCTGACCACAGGTCTGCTGCAGCCTTCCCTGTGGACGATGCTGTCATTGTCAGCCACATGTTGAGCTCTAATTCTCCTCTAGTTTCTTCCCTTGTTTTCCCTGGTGCTTTCCTCTTTCAGGCTAATAAATGGGCTCTTTGGACTATTGTAGTAGGTGAGTGGAATTCTAGATAATAGACGAACCGTTATTAAAACCTTTCAAACTGATTTTTTGTGTGTGTGTGGTTGCCATTCTAAAACCAAGTAGGAAAACAAGGTCTTAAAAGGCAGTGAATGCTCTTTTGTTTGAAAAACAAAAGATTTAGGAGCTACTGCCAGAGGTACCAGCCTCTGGCTTTGGAGCTTGTGTCCTGGGTCCTGAGAACCTGAGAACACAGGTTAATAGGTGCCTCTTGAGACCCTGGCAGGGGGTTTGTTAGCTGGGGAGGCACAGGCCACTCCTTCATGGTGCCCAGGTGGTGGCCATCCCTGCCCCGTGCAGGGCTGTTTGTGCCTCAGTAATCAACCGCATTGCTTTCATTTCCTGGCGTGTGAGATCACTGTTGAGACTCCATAACTGATCACTTTCTAGATGATTCTTTTGAGGTCAGGATTGCAGGAGCTGACATGTGTCTGTGTGACGTTAGGGTTGGCCAACGGTCCAGATGTGCTGGAGACAGACGGCCTCCAGGAAGTGCCTCTCTGCAGCTGCCGGATGGAAACACCGAGGAGCCGAGAGATCTCCACTCTGGCCAACAACCAGTGCATGGCTACCGAGAGCGTGGACCACGAAGTAAGCATGTTTGTTTTCGTTTAAAGCAGCCACGAGGAGTGCGCGAGGAAGCCCGGCCCAGCAGTGGCCCCCGACAGCCCCCTCGAGGGAGTTGTGCTGCACGGCCAGGGGGGAGTCTGAGTGGGTTCTGCACAAAACCAATCGAGCGGATCCCAACGGTGAAATCGCGGCAGATGATGAAACACAGGTCTAGAGCTTCTTAAAAAGGAGGATTGTGTAGACAAGTTCTTCGAATGAAAATGGCCTGTTGTGTTTCTCTTTTATGATCATGATTTTGACAAGGTTTCTCCTACCTTGCTATAAACAAAGTGAGTAGATTGAGGCAGGAGAGTCACACCAAGGGGGGCCTGGAACTGCCCAGAACTGTGGTTCCCTGCAGGGCAGGCCCCGCAAGGGCTGGGCCTCGGCCGCCTCTCTCCTTTCACCGGGGATCACAGACTCAGAGGGTTCAACACGCCCCGTCTCTGCTGCCTCTGGGACAGGAGAGGGGGAACAGGCAGAGCACAGACGGAATTAATGTTTTCTGAGAATTTCTCCAGTTCTTTTTAACAAGATTTCTTTCAGCCCTGAGAGCCTCGTGACCATGGCTGGCTGTGGTGAGGGTCCGAGCAGGAGGCTTGTTGGCACCAGGCCGAGAGGCACCACGTGCAGTGACACTGCTCGGGTGTCTGGCTGCCCCGGGTTTGCATTTGCTGTGGCCGAAGTCAGCACGTGGCCATTAGTGTTGTCTGCTTCCTGAGGGGTGTGTCAGGCTGTCGCTTCAGTGAGTTTCCTGGTCTTACTGGCCAGCGGATCCATCTTCAACTCGACTGTTGAGTCGTAGCTGCACGTTGTAGAAATAAGTGAACTATGAACAGGACAACCATTCACGTAGTAATGCCGGGCATTATTCCAAGCCTTTTGCATAGGGAGCTTCTCCAGGTCTCACGGCAGCCTGTGCAGCATCGGCCATCGCCCAGGTGGTACAGGTGAGGCCTGTGAGAGAGGCCAAGTGGTGGCTCCAGACTCAGCGGCCTGCTGTGGGGAAGGCAGGAATGGGAGCCTCCTTCCAAAGGTCAGGCCCGACCGCTGTGTCAGGGAGCACAGGCAGCACCCGGGGGGAGCAGGCCGAGCCCTGGAACAGGCCAGTCAGTTTCGCTCACGGCCCTCACCCTGGTGCCTGTTTGCGTGGCCGGGGTTTCTGATTCAGCAGGTCTGGCCTGGCTGGGATTTTGCTTTTCTAAAGCGTTCCCCATTTTTCCTGATGCTTCTGGTCCGGGGACCACACTTTGAGAACCACTGGTTCTCCTCCTCCTCTTCTCCATAGGTGTTAGGCAGGGTGCAGTGGAGGCAGGCCCCGTTTGACACGTGCTTCCCTGTGGCTTCACTGTCTGTATCTCCACGTTTCCAGTGCACGTGCGTTTACTCAGACTTCGACACCGGTGCTGCTTCTGTCTCACCCCAGCCTGGCGAGGCGCCGTCTGCTTCAGCGCCTCTCCTCTGTGGCACGTGTGCCCAGCGGGCTCCCCATGCGACGGCTTTTCCCAGCTCTGAGTGTTCATGTCACTCGCTGCATGTCCCGCCACACTCGGCCCCTCCGCAGAGCCCCTCGCTTGTTTTAAAAGAACTTTCCATAGTGAGAAGTGAGGGCGCAGTTAGCTCGGAATCCTCTACTTGGCCTCCTCTGTCACCAGCATTCTCCCCTCCACCCTCCTGTCTTGGATTTGAACTACTTACTATTTTAAAGCAAACCCCATTTTACTACTGAATAGCGCAGTATGTTTTTATTGACATCAGAAAGGGACCATTGTTCTCACGTAACAGCAGGGCTTTTTCACATGTGACAAAAATAACAGTTTCCTGTTATTATTTAGTGCCTAGTCCACGGTCAAAGGTCTGTTGACAAAATGCCTGTTACTTTTTTTTATCTCTTTCTAATTGGATCCAAACTGGTTCCGTTCCACTCATTAAATCAATCTGCTGCAACGTCTCTTAAGTCTCTTGTGTTTCTTTTACCCAGAACATTCTCTCTGTTCCGCACTTCTTCCCATTTGCCATGCTGTTGGCTGAAAGAATCTGGATTCCAGATTCTGGACTTACCTCATAACCTTCTTGTATTGTTTAAGTCATTTGCCTTAGTTCCTATAGCCTGAAAGTTAGATCCAAAGAACTGGTTTACATTCAAGCACCTAAGATTTTTATTTTATGACTTAATTCTGGCGAGAATGCTGTGGAAGTTCGTGTGCTGGGAGTGGTGCTGAGGAGGCTCTGGGTGTCTGAGGCGGCTGCCTGTCCGCCGGAAGGCCGCGCCGTCCTTGGTGACCGCTGCCTGCATCCATTGTTTCATTCAAAGTTGAAAAATGGTGATTTTGCTGTTCTGTCATTCCTCCTGCAAGTGCAGGCTGGAATTCTTTGGTACGGAAGAACTTCCCCGCATCTGCTAGGGCTGGTTGGTATCTCTGAAACAAGCTTCAGCCGGGATTGGCAGAATAAATAGCTACTTGTCTTTGCAGAGTGATGAATGGGTCTCTCACAGCCTCTGCTGGTATCCAGAGGGCTTGAGTTTGCTTCTCTCCGCCCCTCTCCACCTCCCTTTCTCCCTTCGCATTCTTAAGCACTCATGGTCTTCTCTGTATTCAGTGTGCAGGAAGCTTTTTTTTGTTGTTTAAAATTAAACAGATCCCTTGGGCTCTGACTTATTTTTTGGATAGAAAACTCAAAATAATTAAATTAAATTAAATTAAG